TGCTATTCCAGAAACTAATCAGAATAAGAAATTTCTACTGAAAGCTAGGCATTTAGGCCAGGAATAAGATATATTTGAGAAGTCCCTGGTCCTGGCCCTAAAAAGACTACAGACTAATTTCTCTATCACAAATCATATTAGGACCTAATCAAAAGAAGAATTAGAGGCATAATTTAAAAATCACCATTGTAAAACAGAAAATTTCAGGAGGTGAATGAACAGTGCAAATGGAGTAAAGGGAGTAAGTGCCAAAGAACAGTAGAAATTTTTTCAGATTAGTATCCAGGGACCAATATTTTTAGCAAAATGGTTTTCATCTCTTCTCTTCCATGTAACTATTTCTTTTGATGCTAATAATAAGGATTCTGGAGCCAGAATGACTTGATCTGAATCTAGGCTTTGTCATAGCTGGGCTTCTTTGAGCCTGTTTCCTTATCTATGAAATTAAGGTAATAGTCCCTAACTTGATTGTACTTAACTGCTGTGAGAATTAACTAAATTAATTAATGTAAAGGACTGAAAACAGTGCCTGGAACATAGTATCTCAGGTGTTTGCAATTACTATTACAGCGGTCCACAATCTTTCAGACCTTATGCTAAGTTGCAGAAGGTCTGAAAACCAGAATTTCTTCTGTAACTCATTTAGGAGCAAAACCCAAACTGAACAAATGCAAGGCTACTTAGAGTCTTCATCCTGCTCAGTGTGAATATACATGTGGAGATCTTCACATGTTTCACTATAGGATGCAGCCCTAAACTTCACTAGGTTCTATTTATTAATTTCCTAAAATCTGGAAAATTCTAAATTCTGGAACACTCAGCTCCACAGGTTTGGGGTAAAGGTTGTGAACCTACATTCCCTCAGAGTCTGAACAATTTCTATTTCCTTACAATGAATAGTATCTCTTAAATAACCACAAGCGACTAAGATCCTAAACCTAGCAGTAGATAATTTTAGGATGAAGAAAACATTTCCCTGTATAATGAGGAGGGTCCTGTATTCCCAGAATGTTCCTTTCATAAAATCCACTTAATATTTTGTTTACATGTCATAACTGTTAGAATTTTCTAAATTCTAGGGCTAGCTTAAAGTCTACCCTCTTAGATCACAAATAATATTACAAATGATACAGGCTCTTCGGGGAAGCAGTAAGGTAGGCACCCTGATGGTGCATACCAAGTCATCACAAAACTTCAGAGCTGGAAGAGTCCCTTGAGAACTAATCTAAATTCCTATTCCTTCCCTTCCAAACTGTTCTTTCTTCCATAAACTTACTCTCCCCTATGAAGTAAGAATAGCCTGCCCTAACTTGTCCTAAGAGTCTGTCTACTGGAACACCCCATAGGTGAATATGAACAAACAGGGTGGGGTACACTGACAGACATGGGACCTGAATCTAACAGATTAAATTTTACTTGTTTAGCAAATGCCTCAGCTTTTACTTTAGAATATAACAACAATCTCTAAGTCTGGAATAAAGGGAGATTCATCTGGTACATATTTAAAAAAAAAAAGACTTACTACTTAATGAACCCAATGAGTCAACAACATAATGTTGATGCCAAAAAAGCTACTGTGATTAGGAACTAATTACATCAACGGCAGTAAAGCGCCCAGAAAGAAGGAGGTAACTGCTCTCTCCATTACAAACTAGTGAGAGCACCTCTGGAATATTATTTTCAGTTCTGTGTTTTCACACTTTGGGAAAAACAGAAAAGATTTTAAAAGGTCAGGAGAGGGATGGCCAGGATAATGAGGGAATCTGAAACCATATCACATAAAGAACAGTTTAGGGAGCTGAAGTTATGTAGTGTAGACTCAGGGGGAACATAATCACTGTCCTGAAATCCCTAAAGAACTGCCTTGGCCCGATGAGAGCAAACTTCTTCTGCCTAGCCCCAAAGGACAGAACCAGAACCAGTTGGTATTAACTACAAGGAGAAACACCAATGGCTAGCCTATAAAAGTAGTTCTTAAAATGCAGAATCATGTTAAGAGGTAGAGGCTTCTGAAGTCCAATTGAGCCTTAAAAGTTCATAATTAAAAAAATCAAATATTTGTCATCACTGTGGCCTCTGACTGATGATAACTGTATCCTCTAGTATCACAGCCGCTGCCCTCAACCTTCTTTAAATGTCCTACCCAGTCAACCAGTCAGTCAAATGTTTTGCCAGGTCTGTAGAAGGAAAGTGCCTGCTCTCTGGGCAATTAGTTTCAGTTTGCAGATCAGTGTCCCTGTAAACAAAAGAAGGCCCTAATTGAGGGGCAAGTAAGAGCTCTCAGCTAGACCTCCATGAAAGAAATTCTTTAATTCAAAGAGCAGAAGACCTATCTAATCACATAATATATTATCAACAGCACTCTGTCCTTACAGGAAGGTTAAAATAAAATACCCTGTACAAACATCTTCCCAAATGCTAGAGAAGCCAACGCTGCAAGCCAAACTGGGTCTCTCAAATTCAGTTAAAAGTTTCCCTTCCATCAAAAAGATGAGTTTACTGTTTGAAGTAGACTAGGATCCATGCTCATATTAAAAAAGGTCATATATGATTATGTCACTGTGAGGCTAAAACTGCCTATGGATATGTCCACAAAGTCAGATCAGTTGCTGACAATTAGACACAGACAATTCATGAATCCACAGAAAAATTCAAACTTGAAGATGATTTAAAATGCAGACGATTTACTGAATTTGGACATTCTTCAAGAAATTTTGTGACCCAAAGACCACCACAGACATAGGTATATGTCAGTCCATGGAAGTTAATAATAGCCTTGAACAGTTTGTTTGAATGGCATATATTAATCCATCCAGCTTTACTTAACTTAAAATTGATTTGGATTCTATGAAACTCTGGCCAAAGTGTTTGAGAATATAATATATATGTGAAAAACAAGAACACATTCATCTCTGTGTGTTTTTAAAGTCCAGAAGAAACTGTCATTAATAAGGAAGTAGATGAATTATGATATATGATATAGTGTTACAACGAAAAATGCAACTCTTCAGAAGAATAAGGTAGACCTTAGGGACTGATATGAAATAAATAAATAAAAGGAGTCCATGCTACATAGTTAAGGGAACATAACAAGATGCGAAACAACATGTATAGAATTATTTTATTTTGAGCTTTAAAAAACTACTTTTTAAAACTGTAGGTCTATCTTCATACATGCCTAGGGAAATATCTAAAGAGATCAAAGGGCTAACAGCAGTAGCCTTTAGGGACTGACTGGACTAGGAGTGACTTTCATTTTTTCCTTTGTAAACTTCTGGTTGTTGGCTTTCTTATTGTTTGCTTTGCTCGCAAGTAAAGGCTACCTTTATGATTTAAAAATAATAAAAGATAATATGGTTACCCAAACATTTATCATATACTAGTCATTGAGAAGTGAGCTTGCCACTTCAATATTACTGTGTGCTTCAAATTTCAGAAAAATTTAATTAATCCTTTTCTATTATATTTTACTAAAATAAATAAAAATCACCAGAAGTCCCTACTAGATTTCTCGAATGCTTTCTATTCTACACACAAAAGTGTAGTCACAGGACAGCTAACACACATGGTGCTCACTCTGCATGGGCACTGTTCTAAACACTATAACTGTATTAATTTAATCCTCACAGTAATCCTAGGAAGCAGATACTATTAATATCATCATTTCACAGATGAGGAGGTTAAGGAACCCAAGAATGGACTCAACCACTGCAGTTCTGTCTCTCAGTAACATGTCCATCTCTCTACAAGGAAAGGCCTAAAAAGGTTATGGTCAAAATCCAGCTAATAATTCATTCCTTGAAGCTAAAAGAAGTGAAAAATTAGCTTTTTATGGGTAAATAATCTGCATTCCTATTTCTTTGACTGCTAAGATGGAGACTGAATTAAGACTCATAATCATGTGGGAAACTCTCTACAAATAGAATTATAGTTCAAAGTCCATACCTGACTGCAGACTAAGAATTAGGTCAGAGGTCCATTAATATAAGTACAGCTAGCCAAGTGGTTTGGGTGAATCTCTACCCCAACTCAAAGTAAAGGAATTCAGAAATTCTCATCTAATGTCTTGATAAGGCAGGTTTTTATTCTAGGCCCACTTTAGATCAAAACAGGGAAAGAATAGGAGTTGTCTCTAACTCTGCTTGAAGACTGGATTCAACCAACAGGACGAACATCTTATTTTCTACATAGACTCAAAAAGAAATTGGCATTTATAGCATTAGCAACATTGAACATTCTCCCTCATGGGGAGGGGAAATGGGTACCCCTGCTTAAACAGTGTATTCCTGCAAACATATTGACCTTGTAATTGAAGAAGAAAAAAATGATTCAAGGAAGGGATTTAACCTAATTTATAAATGTGCTCAACCTAGATACACACCTGTCCCAAATGACCTACTGAATCCATTTATGTGCAGAGAAAGCATGGGTTACAATCTCTCTCTCTCTCTCTCTCTCTCTCTCTCCACTACTGTTTATAAACAAAATCCTCTCATTCTCTCTTCCACCTGTCACACGCACATCTGATATTTACATAAACAAGGAGAAATGAACAAGGAAACTGACGCCTGCAGAGCGACCGCGAACGCTCAGTGTCGGCACCCGAGGGCTGAAGGTGGGACTGTGCGGGCTTTCCAACTTCCCCAAATAACCTAGGCAGGGAGGCAGGGTGCGCGAACCGAACCCAAAAGTTTTCGCCCACCGGAGCGTCTGACAAAGGCCAGAAAGCCCCGTTTGGAAGGAGGTGAGGTGCCTTCTCCCAGCAGCCGCCCCCCTGGCGAGGAACACAGCCCCGCGGGGGGACAAAAGACTTTCCAGATTGGGGGGTAGGGAGACAGGCTAGCCGGAGCTTGGACGTGGCCGCGGGGAGGGAATCTGGGGAACCGCTGCGGCGAGAACCGATGCCTTCCAGCCCCGAGCCTACCACCAGCGGCCAGCGGCTGCGGGAAGCAGGGGCGCCTGCCGGAGGGTCCCCCGGGAGAGGCGGCGCGGGGACTCACCTGGGGGAGGCGGAGAGGGGGCCTCGGTGGCAGGTGGGGTGGGAGGGAAGGTGCTGCTGCTGCTGCTGCTGCCGCTGCTGCCGCTGCTGCGCCCCGGGGTCGGCGCAGCGGTGGGCGCGGGAGCGGTGGGCGCTCCAGGGGTGGTGGGCGCCGGGCCCGCGGTCGTCGAGAGGGTGGTCGGCTCGGGGCCGGCCGTGGCCCGGGGGGCGGCGGGCGCGCGTTCCGCAGTGCGAGCGGTGGGCGGCGCGGGCCCGGGCGGCGCCGGGACGCTGGCGGGAGCGGGTCCGGCGGTCGCGCGGGGACGGGTGGTCTCGGGGAGCGGGGCTGAGGCGGACGCGGCCAAGGGGCGCTGGGCAGGAGCGCGCGGGGCTCCAGTCCTGGGGGCCCGGGCCGTGGGAGCCGGGGCCTCAGGGACGGGGTGACCGGGCTCGCCCCCCAGCCCCGGGCCGGGCGAGGCTTCCACCTGCCCCGCGGCCCCGCCGCCGCCGGTGACATTCCCCGCCGAGGCGGCTGAGGCGGCCGCGGCCGCGGCGCAGCACAACAGGGCGAGGCCGCCCAGGCTCGGCAGGCTCCTCATGGCGCGCTCGGCTCCGCCATTCATTCATTCAGTCGGCCGGCCGGTCGGTCAGTCACCGTCTCCGCGCTGCCCTCCGACCGGGGAAGCCGCCGCAGCCGCCACCGGGCGCACCATCGCCACCTCCCTCTGACAGGCGGCCGGCCCCGCGGGCGGGCCCCGCGCGGAGGGAGCGACCGGGCCGAACGCGGACCCCCGCCCTCCTCGAGTGGCAGCCTCCTGCGACCAATGGGAGGCCACGCCGTCCCACGTGACCCGCCCTCTTCCCGGCCTCTTTGTAGACCCGCGGGCCAATCAGCGGGCGTCGCGGGGAAGGGGCGGTGCTAGGGCGGGATTTGGGTGGCGCGAGCCCCTCTCCAGCCGGTGGGGATCGCGGCAACCCCGGCTTTGTCTGCCCAAAGAGCGGGGCGCGGGCCTCGGGCACCCGGCGCCGCGGAGCAGACAAAGGACGCGCCCCGCGGCGGCCGACGCCGAGCCAAAGCGTCGGCTCCACTGGGCGGCGAGCGCGACCCGGGGCGGGGAATCCGCTCCTGGGAGCTTCCCCGCCCTGTTGAACAATGGGGCGCCGGCGCCGCACCCGGACTCGGGTGGGGACTGGGCTGAGAGCCCCGCGATGGGCGAGGGCGGCAGCGGCGAGAATATAGAGCCCAGTGTTCTTTCTGCTGTCCGAGAGAGCCCGGCCTGGGCCCCGCGAGGTCTGCTCTGCACTCCCATTTCAGAGATGGGGAAACTGAGGGCCTCACCGAACCAAGACCCACGGCCTCCCAGACACCTGCTGTGAACCGGGCACTGTGCCAGGCAGGACACAGTGGGGCTCTAGAGACCGGTCAAGAGCCGAAGGTGCAAGCTTCCTGCGTGGATGAGACAGACTCACATGCATACGTTACTTGAACCCGAGGGAGAAAAGGAAAGGCTGGGTGGGACCTCAGCTTCAAGCCTCCCGCTTTGTGGTTTTGTGGCCTGAGTGCAGTTCCTCACCACTAAAATGGGGATGATAATACCCCATCCCACCCCTCTCTTACAAAAAATTAAGTAATGTGCTGAGAAGGCTTACCCCAGTGCCTGGTCCCAGTACACCCTCATTAACGCTGACTACTCTGAGTCCTCTGTCTGGACAAGCTCTGCACCACAACCCTGGATGGGGGTGGGTCAGATAGCAGAACTTGACCCTGGGTGGCACTAAAGCCTGGATGAAGCTGGCGCTCCGGTGGCATGATGCCTTGCACCGCGAGCCCAGGATCCAGAACTCACTGCAGCCGCTGCTCAGCAGCTTCTAGGGGGAGCCAGGTGGGCGGATTCTCATCTGAGAGGACTTCATCCCAGCCCCACCGCCAGACCACTCCTGGCCCCAACTATGAGATCTTGTCTTCTCTTCGTGCATGATTGCCCATCTAGTCACTGACACCAACCAGAATGGCAGGATATTTGTGTTTGAACTTGTGTGTATGTTAATGAAAACACATTTGTTTACCTGCATGAGTAGTGGGTGGGGAGAATATGTGCCTGTATATGCTATAGCACAAATACCGTGGTGAACCTGTGTTCACGTGTGCTCTTTTAAGTATATTTATGTGTGCGCTTTGTATGGGTGGGGAATGGAAGGAATGTGTGTGGGTGTTCTGGTTTCAGACCAATATTTATCAAGTATAAATCAAGCTTCTGTTTCTGTTTCTCTTGAAGAAGGGGGTGAACAGATCATGCTCCTCGCCCCCTATTCTCTTGCTGAGTCTTTCTGGTCCTTCAAAACTCAACCAAAATACCATATATTCTGGATCTCTAAGTGGAAATTAATTACTCTCACCTCATTTTCCCACTGCCCTTTGTTTATTCATTGATTATAGCCCTGATCCATCCATCTAGCTCTCCCCTGCTACTAAGAAGAGCTTCCAGAAACAGGATAAACTGAACTGTCTGCATGGCTTTATTACTCCTCATAGGCATGCATTAGGTGCGATACTAGAACTTGTGGCTTATGTATCTGTCTCTCTCCCATTAGGCCATTCTCTCTGTTTTCCATGCCTAGCAGAGGTAATAAGTGTGAAAGCTAATCCATGCTTGTTAAATTGAATTAAATGGAAAAGGATCCTGTGATGCCATGGGAAGAGCTTGTAGCTTTAGAGTCAGAGGTGGGTCATAACTCTTGAAAAAAAGCTATCACTTCTCGGAGCCTCAGTTTCCTCATCTGTAAAATGGGGCTAATAAATTTAGATGGAAGGGAATGTTTTTACAGAGGCTGGAACAATGAAGGTGCTCCATCTGTATAGGTTCATATTTCATTGATGGATTTATATCAGTGCTCACTTTTAATCTTTTTGCTTGAGGAACCACAGATGAACCACCTTTGTTCCATAACTTTCTCATCAGGTAACATGGAGTGACATGTTACATGGATGACCTACCAGTCATCCCCTCGTAATAGCTGAAAAATGCTATGTTAGCCCTGAGCTGTGCTATATAAGAAATTCTCAGGCAGGGCCTCCCTGGTGGCGCAGCGGTAGAGCGCTGGGTTGCGAAGCTGCCCGCGGCCTCTGCAGCGCCAGTTCGATCCCCAGCTGCTCCCCGGCCACCGGAGGAGGGTCCCACATGGCGCGCAGACCTCTCCTGCCGCCCGCTGCTCCCCTCAGCAGTGTACTTCGGTCCTTCTACCTGCTCTTCTCCCCGCTCTGGCTCTGGTGAATTCTCTCTTCTGACTGTACCCAGTGCTTGTATAAAACAAAACAAACAAATAAATAAATAAATAAAACATGCCTCTATTAAAAAAAAGAAAAAAAAAAGCATTTCCATTAAAAAAAAAAAAAGAAATTCTCAGGCAGTAGGAGAGAAGAGCTAAGGCAGCTTCCTTGCCTGGAGAATCACAGAGAAAAGACTCTATAGAAGACCTTGCTAAACTGATCCAGATCAGCTTTCTGCCTCAGACAGGGATTACCCATGCAGGAACTTCTAAGATGGGTTAACAAGCCTGTAATATGCATCAGAAATATTGAATTGGGCCTCCCCTGGTGGCGCAGCAGTTGAGCGCTGGGCTGGGAAGCTGCCCGCAGCCTCTGCAGTACTGGTTCAATCCCCAGGCACAGGCGAGGGTCCCACATCGTGCGACAGACCTCTCCTGCCTCACCCGCTGCTCCCCACTGCAGTGTATTTCATCAGTCTGCCTGTTTTGTTCCCCGCTCTGGTGAATTCTCTCACCCTCCCACGCTTCTGACTGTACCCAGTGCTTGTATAAATAAATAAATAAATCTTAAAAAAAAAGAAATATTGAATTATTTGGAAAGATAAGTTTGTTAATGTTAATTCATCCAACATTTTACTCTCAAGTTTGTTCCTCTGACTTTATCTCTAAATCGTAACATGACTTTTTAAAAATGTCTTGGGAATAATATTTTATTTTGTGTTTAAAAATCAAAAACACCTTAAATAACCCAATAAGAGAAAGGTATTATTATTCTTGTTCAATTGAGTTGCATAGAGTCACAATGAGGGTAGCTATGAGGTCAATATAGCAAATTTTAACAATCGATCATCAAGTTCTCAGGCGTGCTAGACATTATAGTACCAGCAACACACCAAATATAGCCCAGAGCAACACACCTACAAACAACCTCAGGAAGTATTTACTACTATTGTCTCTGTTTTGCAGATAAGGAAACTAGGGCACAGAGAGTTTAAGCAACCTACCCAAGGTCTCTTAGTAAGTGACAGAACCGGAAATCACACTGAGTCTGGCTGATTGTAACCGGCACCCTTAACAACTATGCCATAAAGGGAAAATGCCTATGATATAATGTTAAGAAGAAAAGAGAAATAAGTATAGCCATGACTTTCTGGGTAACAAAATATAATCCGCCACTTTTCTTCTTGCCCCAGAACTAAAGCAGAGACCCAGAGCTGTAAACAGAGCTGTCTATCAGCCCACAACACCTGGGGCCACAACACTTACTGTCCAGCCAACAGACACGATGGGCAGAGGGCCTGGGGAGCTGATAGCTGCTGGAGCTTATCCCCAGTCTGATTTCTCTTTAGATACTCCACACCTGGCATAGTGTCAAATACATAGAGACGGTTCAACAATTATTTGTTGAGCTAAATTGAGTCTTATGGTGTGTAGCACTGTCCCAGGACTTTTGCATTTATAACAAATTAATTCCTCAAAGATAGGGCTATGACCCTCACTTGAAAGAAAAAGAAACTGAGCCCAGGAAAGGGAAGTTAGGGACTTGCCTGAGATTTGCCCAGCACCAAAACCCAAGCTCTCCGCAACACTAGACAGTCTAGTAATGGGGCTTCTGGACCTTGAATGAAGTAGAAGGATGCATCGTGAAAGAAAGGACACAGGCACACCACATTTAACACTCCTGCTAAGGCATCACTTAAGAGAAGCTTTGGAGTAAGAAAGGAAAAGAAGACATAACAACATAATAGATGTGGCTCAGCAAAATAACTTCATTCCCAGATTCGTTCCAACAAAATATGGAAACTTTCCCCTTGCTGGCTTCCTAGAAATAGCACGCTGATGTGGATTATTTCTAGTGCTGCCAGAGCCTGGCCACCTATCAAACATGGTTAAATGCAAAGTTTGACATCACTTAGAGACAACTGTAGGATTTTGGGGGTCACTGTTAACAAGTTTCCCCAGAGAAGAAGGATGTCAACAGATATTTCACAGAAAGGGAGATACAAATGGCAAAGAAACATAAAATACTGTCTATTCAATTTATGTAATCAAAGATATGCAAATGAAGACTTTAAGTTATCATTTTGTTAAACCCATTCATTTTACAAGTATTAAAAAAAACTGGTAATACTTGTTGTCAAAGGAGTGCCTCACTCTGATGATAAGAAGGTGATGTGACACAACCTGTCCAGGAAGCTTTGAAAGCTTTGACTCGTTATTTCTACTTTGAAGAATTCATCCAAGGGTAATAAACAATCAGATGAAAATAAAGATTTATGTATAAAATTGTTCATCAGAGGGCCAGGTCTCAGCACTATGAAACTATCAGCGGCCACTGCGACACGAGTTCATTCCCTGGCCAGGGAGCTGACCCATATGGGACAGCAGATCTCTCCTGTCTTGCCCACGGTTCCCCTCAGCAGTATATTTCAGTATATCCACCTGTTCTGCTCCCCACTTTGTCTCTGGTGTATCCT